AGTGGGACATGTTAACTCTCAATTACCCTAATATAAATTTATAAACAGACACATATAGACTAAGAGCTACTGAACGCCAGACCTACGTTATTTTATAAAGGCTGAAAGTTTGTCAGCGCATGCTCCCAACATAGCTAAGAACCATGGCCAAACATGAAGTTTGGGTCATGGTGGCTTTGGCAGACAGGCGGTACTAAAGGTGTGTAAAATACCAACTTAATTACGTCAAAGTATAAAGGCTGATTTTTTTATATTTCCTTCAAAATGTTATTAGAAATGACGTCATTAATTGACAGACACCTACCATGGTGGTACTTTAATATTTTGCAAACGGGAACCGTTTAAATAAAAAAATAGTCTTAGAAACCCCTAAGCCATTATAAAAGACCTATCCAACGATACCCCACAAATGGAATAGAAGATGAAAAAAAAATCCCCACTTTATATAGGGAAGCTACCCTAAAAAATATTTTTAAAAATTTTGTTTTATTACTTTGTCGGCATGATTAGAATACATACCAATGGTAAATGGTAAAGTGGCAATACCTCCTAACTAACAATACTAAAAATTTTTAAGAAATCGATTTAATTTCCTGTGGACATTTTCCATTCGAAATTTTTCTCCTAACTGATATTTATTTATAGATAGCAATAAAACTTTGTGGAAATAGCTGCTATATGCGCAAGTAATCCCAACTAATATTATAAATGCGAAAGTAACTCTGTCTGTCTGTCTGTCTGTCTGTCTGTCTGTCTGTCTGTTACGCTTTCCCGCTTAAACCTCGCAACCGATTTTGATGAAATTTGGCATAGAGATAGTTTGAGTCCCGGGAAAGAACATAGGATAGTTTTTATCCCGGTTTTTGAAACAGGGACGCGCGCGATATGGTTTTTCTGTGACAGACAAAAATCCACGCGGGCGAAGCCGCGGGCGGAAAGCTAGTATTCTTATAACACTGGGCTGCAGTCCTGTCTTAAATATTAAAATTAAATGTATGGAAAGAAAGAAAGAAAGAAACATTTATTGCCATGGACATCACAGAAGACAAAAGATGTAAATAATAGAAAAAAAAGTAAATAAGACATAGGTGACATAAAACATACAATGAAAGTGAAAGTAAACTGAGCAGTGCCACCCTGTTGCACAGCGATGTCCATCGCAACGGGACCCCACTCAGCATATGCCGTGGCCCCCGGTGAGGGAGGCCACGACGCTGGTTTTCAGTGTGGCGATTTTCGTTCTTTGAACTATCGTTCGGCCTTGGGTCTTGCCTTAGTAAGCTCCTGTATATAATTTGTATCGAGAATTTAGTTCGGTTACGAAAGCGATTGACAGCTTGGCGGCCATCTTGGATTTTCAAAATTTTGTATTTTTTCTTTGATCTGGACTACTTTCCGCACCGAACCCCATTTTTACTTTTTCTCTAAGTTTACCGAGTTCCGAACAGCAATGCCTTAAAAACCTCATGTCCAAAAATTGTGTAATCCCGTAACTCCAAGTGTTGCCAGGTCATCGAGATAAAAATGGTCAAATGTCATTTGTTTCACTTATTTGCACACGTTTCAGTAAAAAAAATCATCACCGGAAATCATTATTTCCATTTCTTTCATAAAATATAAGGACCAAATCTCCAACAATATGGCAACATTGCAAAAATTTCTTTACCCAAGCGATACCTCTTGACAAGACACATGAACGCCTCATACAACCCAATTTTCGCGAATATTGCCAACTACCCTAATAATGCATTTTAAAAATCAGAAAAATGAAACTTTTTACCAGTTGGCCGCTTGCTCCGCCGCCATCTTGATTTGCCATGATTTTTTATTTTTCTAATAATTAGGGTCATTAAATCATATCCGACTTCTGGCCGATGGGGAAGTCATGCCCAGCTTATGACCTGGGGAGAGGAGAGGGACGGGGGAGTCATACCCAGCTTCTAGGCTAAGATTAAATAGATTTCCAGAAGGGAGCAGCTGGCCCGCCCATGGGAACGGCGAATAGATAGGTAGGTACGTAGGTTTACCTCAGAAAAACTAAATAACAGGTAGGTATTGCGTGTACATCGAAATGATCTTCATAGCAATGTCTTGTAGCCAAGGCAGAGTGTATCTGCCTCAGCTATACTTATTGTTAGAAGTAAATAAAATAATATTTATACATTTTTATATTTTACTTGGACGAAGATATGACTCTAACAACACTTATGAACACTTTATTTGAATAAATCGCCAAATATACCATCGCGGAGACCCTAATCGCGTCTCCGCGTTCCATTGAATCGTATGAGCGTATGGATTTTTTGCGATATTTTTCACAATTTCTATTTTTAAAAATTACCTATCGATAGCTTACTTTATTCTGATGAATAAATGTCATAATAAGTTTTTCTCTAAAACTGATAGTTTGGCTAGAAAAAAATATTTTCTATCCACGCAGTACGCCGGCAGCGTTCGGATCGGATATAATGACGTCATCGGTCCCGCGCCGGGCGGTCAGTGAACTTTTTTAGTAATTTGGCCATAACTTCGTCAATTTTTGTCGTAGAACAAAAATTTTTGGACTGTATATTAAGGATTGCTTAGACCTATAAATCTGCATTCACAGCTAAAAATCGAAATGATCCTCATTAATGACGTCATTTCTAATAACATTTTGAAGGAAATATCAAAAAATCAGCCTTTATACTTTGACGTAATTAAGTTGGTATTTTACACACCTTTAGTACCGTCTGTCTGCCAAAGCCACCATGACCCAAACTTCATGTTTGGCCATGGTTCTTACCTATGTTGGGAGCATGCGCTGACAAACTTTCAGCCTTTATAAAATAACGTAGGTCTGGCGTTCACTAGCTCTTAGTCTAATAATACTTATTGGCACTTGAAATCCTGCTCCTGATGAATCTATTCCCCATAATTACAGCGATCCAAAAACCACTTGAATCAAAATGAGCAAAATTACAAATAAATAGAGCAGCCAGCGAGACACCTGTCACATAACTTTGAAATGATTGAAGTATCAAAAGTCCCGGAACGAGGAAAATGTGGAGCATTAAAATATTTACACCCGGAGCCGGACCGACGATCGATTACACCCACACTGTGCCAAATACCATAAATAATCCCGGCCTTCATATTTGTGAAATGTTTACCGATGATTTCGCGATTGAAACATTTCTGTAAAACAATAAATACCCTAAAAAGTAATGAGTAAAACCTACTTTAGTCGAGTCTATCTGTCCATCATAATTACGAGTGACAAGTGGAAAAATACGTGATGTTTCATATAATTTTACATACGTGTCGCTTAACTTCAAACTCGGATAAATCCACTCTACCCTGTTCGGAGATATTTAATAAAAAGTGTTTATAGTCTTATTTTAATGAATTAAAAGGCAGTCTTTTTTTATTATGGCACTACTATTGAAGAAAATGATCCTGTTTATTCATTTCAGTATTTAAATCACGCATTCTCTCAAAAATTTAATATTTAGTTTGGATTTACCTTCATTTGATATAATGGAATGCAATTTATCCAACTTTGAAAAAACGCAATGAGGATTTATCTAATTTTGATTTAATAGATTCGGATATATCTAGTTAAGGGGGTGCAGCGCGGACGAAAATCTACGATTTGATAGCCGGGCTAGCGGTGGCGCAACGAACTAACACGATCACACACAAACTGCTTTACAGAGTAGAGACAAAAGAGACTCAACACAGAGTAAAAACACGTATTTTCACTAATTTTGCTAAGCAAAAAGTGAATTTATAATACGTAAAGGATGGTTAGGTATTATAATCAGGAATAAAGAAGATTTGATTTTTTGTTGATATTGCTGCAAAAATTCTTACACAATAAAAATCATAACTAATTGATTCTTCTGATGAACAAAGGCATTAAACAGTTTCGTAAAAGAGTATTTTTCCTAAACGTTCAATTCAAATACTTAGGCAGTTAACGTAGCGTNACATACGTGGTAACGTGGCGTGGAACTTTGTTCAAATATTATTTATGCACACTGATGCTGCACCAACCTCGTAGTCAATATTTGGTGCAGGAAGCCGTGCACATAAACTGATTATCAGAATTTAATTTCAGCTTGCTGCTCATTTGCTGCTATGTTAAAACTGACTTTCACAAGATATTGCTTTATTTGATTAGTGTGGACTATCCAAAGCCCTTTACCGTAAAATGAAGTTCTAAACTTGTACCTGGGCAGGCCTCCTACTTGGTGTACCGACGATCTGGTGAAGGTCGCGGGAAGAACCAGAATGCGAGCAGCACAGGACTGGTCATTAGAGAAAGCCTTCAAATGACGTCTACTGCTGGACAAAGGCCTCCCTTTGTCCAGAACGAAGGCCTCCCTTTGTCCAGGACGAAGGCCTCCCTTTGTCCAGCAGTGGACGTCATTTGACTAAAACGAAACTTGGACCTAACATTTGGAATTCACTGCGTTCTTTTCCAACCTATCACTTGCAATACTAGTTTTTCTAAATCATTCCTAACGACTACGGGTCGGAATCGAGTGCTTGCCAATGACAGGACCTGCGATAAATACACGTAATCTGGCCATTCACGGTGTGCAGTTGGCGGCTGAAGTATACCATAGAACCCTCTTTTGACCTTTATTGTCATAGGATTAGTGAAAAATACAACAAGCATACTCAACTTGACTGTAGTACTGTACTATTGTACACGCACAAAAGCTGCTCAGCTATTATTTGAATTTATTTGGGAGATAGCGCACCCTCACGTAGGTCTAACTAAATTGGAAGCATGTTAAAGCATGTTTGAAAAGAAAAATATACCAAGTAACTCTTTGAAACCTGAAAGAATGTACCTAAGAGAAAATTACACAAAAAGCTACGGTATTTGTATCAAACATTCTTTAATTAAAAAAAATTCTATTACATATTTTTTCTAGTAATAATCATCAAGTATGACGTTGAGTACAAAGTAACAACACTCGGAGTAATGAAGAAAATGTATAATGAAATGTTATGAAAATAGTGAAAAAATAACTAAAATAAACTCCGTATGTATGTAGAGACTACTTTAAAGCAAACATTAATTATTAAAACTATTTTCATAACATCTAAAAAGAAATTTTATGAACGAACTAAACTTTACACAGGCTTGGTTTGTAAATATGCAAACATGCTAAGAATATTGAACATAAATATCTAACTAACTAACTTTTATGTTTACCCAAACGACCGGGTCATTTACAAAACTCTGCAAGATACCCCTCACCAGTCACCACCTACACAGTAAAACAAAACCCGACACAAGCATCTTCAGCCAATTCCAGAAGTTCCGACTGTCCCGCGGCGACACCAAATTATGAACTTCCTTTGTGACAACGCCAACTTCCCACAACATATAAAACTCCTGCAATATTAATCGGTGTAGAGTTCACTCCTGTTTAGCATATAAAATGGCGGCCGGTGTTATTTTTCCGCGGCGGCAAACATTAAAATGCAAATGGCGGCATGTGCACAACCTCCACAAACGCCTCCTTTGATGCACTTTGAAGCGACATTTTCATGAGCTTGTTTATGTATGCACCTGGTGGGTGTTAATCTCAAACGCGCGAGAAATGTTTGTGACGGCCTTTTTTACAAAAAGTTGCGAGTGAACTTCTCTTTAAATAAATATGCGCTAACCTCGAACGTCTTTTCAATCTTGGAAATAAATATTTATTCACGTTAACTTTTCCGACTTTTCCCAATACGACTGCCGGAACTCGGTTCCTCCTTTTCTATTAGCTCTTCGTCAATAAGTAAGTCAAAATTCCCCAACGCCTCTGCGCTAGGTAATTTATTCCAACGCACATCGGGCACCCCGTCGGGCGGTAAAACTAGCGACAAAATGTTATCTATTAACTTGTATTTCAGTATCCTGTCATTGACTGTCGTAGACGTTAGAGACGGCGAGGCGTTCACTTCGACGAGCCACGGCTTCAGCTGGTTATCGATTATAATGTCGTACCCGTAGCACTCGAAGCAGTGCCTGTCATTGGCCATTACGGAAGCAACAGCCTTCAAAGAATGCACAATCAGCCATTGCATCGCGGAAAATAACTTTTCCGTCACAGCGCGCCCCCGGCTTCCCTCTAAATATAGCCTCAGATTCTGTACACTCATTTTACCTCCATGGATACTATTATAGTCACCTCCGTGCTTCTGCACACTGACGTTAGTGAGATGAACGTACATATTATCTAACTCTGTAACGCTGGTATCGTACTTCACGGTGCAAAACCTACAAAAGCCAAGTTGGAATAGATAAGCCTTTAAAGGTCGGAAAGACGCGACTAACACGTAGAGTCTCAGATCGAACTTTTTTCCCCCTATTAGCAGAGGATTGTCTATGTATCGGGAAATCACGTAGCTTTCTTTGCTCAGTTGCGGATGGAAGGGAGTTTTTGCCTCGCGGGACCATTTCTTCAGCTTCGATAGTTTGTTTATAAGAAAGATTCCAGTGCCCTGAGATTTTCCGCATGGCTTCATTATCCAGGTACTCTGTGGGGATTTGCGGTATTCCTCGACAAACATGTTGTAGTCCGCTGGGAGGACGAAGGTGACGGGCACAAAGTCGAGATGAACGTATCGTGTGACAACTTGCCCGCCGTGTAGCATGATTTCGGCCTTTTCGGCTAAAGGGCTGCCTTCCCTTTCAAGTTCTTTTCTATACCTTTTGATGTTTTTGACTAGAAGATCTTTTCTGGACAGCTCGTAATGGTTCGGGAAGTGGTTAATCATTTGGTTGTCGTTCATTCTGTAGCCGCTTTCGACGCTGAATAGGTTTCTGCACGTTTGAGTTGAGGCCCAATAAAAGTTCCACTCGTCGTCGGGTCCGACTTGGTTCCAGCCGCGTCGCTCGAAATTGCTCATCAAAACTGACTTCTCTAGATCCGTGCAAAAGTTCACGCGACATCTTTCCACTGGCGGCACGTTTACTCTTCCGTATATGTTCGTGGAAGTTTTCTTCGCGTCCTGATTCATTCTTAGCGCGCGTATGTGAAAAGTTCGTCATATTGACCAAATATTTACGGGCAGGTGCGTCCCGTTGTCATGGCGCTCAACAAATATCGCCCGCCATTGGCCGATATCCAATCTCGCTCGTTTCGCTATGACTACGTGTAAACACTGTCCGTATTGATTTTTAACGAGTTTTTGTCGTTCGCGGTACCTTGTGCAAACTTTTGGGCACAGTATTAAATTTCCGTTCGCAAAGCTTTTGTTTGTTCACTCGTAAGTAATGAAATCAGGTATATGCCAATTAACAGTAGGGAGCATTATATTATAGGATTTTAATAACATACTCGTATGCTAATCATCATATAATGATTTTTATCATATAGACAACACGAGTATAGCCACTTATTTCCAATACACATACCTACATAGGGACTACAAGATTCTTCCTATGGAATTGAGGTCCCAAGAAAACATAATTAAGTGGCTACACGCCAAAAACAATCTTTATTATTATTTCCCAGTTACAACACATTACATCTAAGGTATTATCCTTGTGAAACAAAAACATCGAGGCACGTGCTGACATCCTCAAAAGATAAGATAAAAGACAATAACGTGAAATTGGACGACCTTATAAAAACGTTTGACACAAAACGAAGCTTTACTGTATTTATATTATTTTGCCGTTTTATGCTATCCATACAGCCTCTACATCGGGCCATCAAACAAACAAATAGGATTAAAAATTCTTCCACTAGAGCGGTGATGGAATTGGTCGGTATACTACATCATACCTAGTATGTTCTTTGTCATGTCATCCAGGTTTTATCACCTAGTAAAATTAGGTCCAATAGTTCGCAAACGACATCTTCTACATGGGAATTTTCTATAGCGGGCGGGTATTGTAGATAGGTATCAATCTTTATTATTTACTCTTTTAACTTTATTTTGGGCAAGAGGATAAGGAAACTAACTCTCTACAATTAAAGCCACATAGTATACTAAGAAAAGTCTAGACGCATTTAAATTTTGGCATTTAGTACAACCCTAATGAGGCTTCTAATAGCTCCTATTCAAGTTTTTGCTATAGAAAACCTACTGATAAATGTGAGGATAGAGTATTTTGGTGGATAGTCGCCAACACATTTGACTATCCTTGTAACTTTTTTGTGACAAAATTGTATTTATAAAATTACACTGTAGGCGCCCTACTGTTACACATACTTGATTATCCTGACATTCGTACACTACCATTGATACGCCTACTACTTTGTTACTTTTACACATTTTTGTGGGAAAATCACATCTATTAAAACTACATAAGCCATACTATTATTCTATACCGCCTACTTTATTCTCAGTTTGGCCCTAAGGTTGACTGGCAGAAAATGCCGAAAGGCATTAAGTCCGCCTTATGTACACCGTTCTATGTGCATATAAGTTTTAAATAAATAAATAAATAAGAGGCCCTAGTGTTTACACATAATATGCCGCTATCCGTACTGCCATTGATACACCCACCCTACCTTCTTAGCCACGATCAAAGGTCTGCTATAAAACACAATGAGTGTTTTCCCAAAACAACATCATTTAATAAATGTTTAAGTGTTTACCTTTCGTGCATCTCTCGAGGCAATGCAATGTGTTTTCTTTTCTCACACCCAGATTATTTTGAACTTATTTACGTATGTTACATGTAATTTTTACGCGATTAAGCCGCGGAAAATTCCCTTGAATACCTATAAATAAACTGTTTGCCATATTATATAAGCCATATTTATATAATTTTGTATATTCTGTCCATTAAGGCTCTAATTATAGCGTAATACTTAGGCTATTATTCGGTTTAAGAATACATATTTATTTTTCTCATCAAAACCGTACAACCACTTGCATGAGAAACAAAAAGTGTAGGTACCTAATTATAAGAAAACAAAATATACTAGTGCAAAATATCTACTATTTGGAATGTATGTTGGGAATAGTTATGTAGTCGGTCAGGTAGTAGTTATGTAGTTATTTATTTTATTCAGGACTTGTCAAATCCCAGATCGCCATTTCCATTGGTAGCAGAAAACAGCAGGTAAGGTACTTTTGTTAAGAAAAAAGAGGTCTTGGTTGTTTTTCCAAGCACACAAAAATTAAATGCAGTAAGTCTGAAGTGTAAACACACCTTTATGTAGATCCGTCAACTTCTTATCTCTATGACGTCGAGGTAAGCGCTCCAGGCTACGCTCGCGAGTTTCCATAATAAGTCAGCTCATATTGCGCCGGGGTTCTAGTGCAAAATGTCATAAGTTGCTTATTACATTTTAAATAACTTTGTCCTGGATACATGATAAAGTTAATAAATATATTAATATTAGAGAGAACTATCTCGTTTCGTGTTCGGTCTTAGAAAAAGTTTGGTTTATCTCTAAAATTTATTAATTTAACTTCATAACTCCATTTAATTTGTCTTCCGAGAATAATTCTAGATTCTATTCCCAGATGAGACATGAGACATACAAAGTTAACTAATCAGCAAGGACAGTTTTCATCCATAAATGAAAAACAAAAGCATCGCGATATTTTTCGAACTCAACCTATTTGGTGTTCACTTTCGTCGTTTCAGCCAAATGACGTCCACTGCTGGACAAAGGCCTCCCCCAAGGTTTTCCACAATGAACGGTCCTGCGCTGCCCGCATCCAGGCTCTTCCCGCGACCTTTACCAGATCGTCGGTCCACCTAGTAGAAGGCCTGCCCACGCTACGTCTTCCAGCCCGTGGTCGCCACTCGAGAACTTTCCTGCCCCAACGGCCATCGTCTCTACGAGCTATGTGCCCCGCCCACTGCCACTTGATTTTAGCAATTCTGCGAGCTATGTCGGTTACTTTGGTTCTCCTGCGGATCTCCTCATTTCTGATTCGATCACGCAGGGAAACTCCGAGCATAGCCCGCTCCATCGCCCTTTGGGTTAGTGTTCACTTTATCCTTTGTTATTTTTTCGTGGCGGCCATATTTAAAAAGACGTTTTGTCATTATTGAATAAATGATTATTTTTATTGCTTACCTCTTTAGGAGCCATAAGTGTTAAATTAAATAAAGTTTATCCATAGATATATTATATTCGTACAATTTATTTTCGGACCACGCACAATAGGTATTGTAAATATTTAGTGTAATGTCAAAACTACTTTGAGTATTCTCTATCACCACTAGTGGACTAACCCTAATATAAACTGAATTAGCCTTATCAGCCACCTGTGCTACAATTACGCCCCCACAAGAGAGTTTTGCGCCAAAACATGTGGGATTTATTTAATGATATCAACATCCCAATTTTGTTGACCCCAGTAATGAATGGCCGACCGTAACGCCACCTGTGTGTCATTAAAGGCGTCATAATAGAAGGTATTAACCGCAGCTCGGGGTCCTACTATCAGTTCTGAACTATGTGAAATTAAGAAATATTCTTGGACATTTCAAAAGCCATCTAATCCCAGACTAAGCAAAGCTTATACCTACTACGGGCACCAGACAAACCATGTACCTACACATTAATTTATGTGTAGTAAATACAACTGCGAGGACTAAATGAATTTCGTCTAGAGAAATGGATATAAATCAAAATTGCCTGGGGGAGGCGTTTATTTCTACATGCTTAATGATGCCATGTGAAAAATAACTCTCGATACACCAATACAAATAAGGGCACTACAAATACTTCGTTTTATTGGAAGGATATTTTGTCCTAAATGCCGTTCTGTAAACTTTTTCTTTATTTAGAATCTATACTTCTATACTATCTATATCTACATACATATGCACTCGTATACATAATATTATAAATGCGAAAGTAACTCTGTCTGTCTTGCTTTCACGCCTAAACCACTAAACCGATTTTGATTAAATTTGGCATAGAGATAGTTTGAGTCCCGGGAAAGGACATAGGATAGTTTTTATCCCGGTTTTTGAAACAGGGACGAGCTCGATGAAGTTTTTTTTTGACAGACAAAATTCCACGCGGGCGAAGCCGCGGTCGGAAAGCTAGTGAATTGATAAAGATTATTGGGACCTAGTGTGTAACTTGCCCCAGATGTAATCAACATTGAATAACATGAGAATAACTAAACACAAACTTTGCTAGAACAATTTCAAATTACAATTTCAATTTACGTCTCTGATACTGTTGTCCTTGGTAGTAGGGACCTTTGCCTGTAATAAAAGCATTCCCTAATAGAACCTTGTCTGATATTAGCTACATACGCGTACGGAACCCTCGCGATAGTCGTTTGATATAGTAATTGACCCCCATTAATGTCCATTTCGCCAAAATCTTTACTGTGAGAGTCTATCAGAGGTCAAGCTAAATTTTGGCTCATATAAAATTTACTGAGTGTAGTGGTAGGTTACGAGCTCAGATCCCTTCTATGATCTGAGGTTACGAGTAAAAGAGTGGTGAATTTCTATGCATTTGCTTTTCAAAAATAATACCTACATTATAATTATACATTCCTACTCTTGACTTGAATGCTATTACTGTTAATTAAGTACGCCTTTTGTATTGTGTAAGCTCTATGTATAGCATATTATGCTTTAAAGTAAAATAAAAATAACAAAGAGTTGTATGTGAACTTTATTAAAATACCTGTTAAAGAGTGATTAATTAAGCGTTAAAAGGATTAGCCGTTGAAACGAAATTTCAGTAACAAAATTGTACATTCTAATTTCTATAATCCAAATATTGTTGAATATTAACTTACGTACGCCACGACTAAAACAAAACGTAATACTTTGCGAAAATAATTTTGTAATATAAATTCGGCACGTAAGCTTCATTAAAATGATTTCGTATTGAAGTGTTTTTACATCACATAATTAAGTAATATAAATTCTAAATTAAACAATTAGAGCAATAAAAGGCACCTGTGAATCATAAACGGCTTCATTCTTTAATTACCTACTTTTATTAAGTAACTTTTGCCTTCTAATTTGAATTCTTAATTCGAAATGATACAATTTCACGTAAACTTACACTGAA